TCGTGTTTCTCCCTACCTTCCACAAAAATCCTCACGCCCTCAGAAAGTCTTGTACAATTAAAAACGGGTACTGGCTTTCTTCTGAATTAATAAAGCACCATAGGAAACTCGCAATGGAGTTAGAATGCCTCTGATAGTCGTCTATTTGTACTTCCTTTCAATTCCTCACAACTTCAAGGATCGTGCTTTCGCTCCATACTCAAAGAACTGAACGTTATGAAGGCGTAGTTGGAGTCTAAACTCTGCTTGTTTCTTGAAGTTGCACGCAGAAGGTGACCTACTTATGAAGGAAAATTCGATGCGGGGTATTTTTTTCCTCGAACTCAATTTTTGCCGACAGGTCATGGTTTTCAACGCGCGCCTCAAAGATGCAGCTATCCCGTATCGGGCTATGCCCGATCCCTTAACGTCATTTTCGGAGATGCGTCGTTGCCGTTTTAGAAGACAACCTATCTCCTAGAACTCGAGAGTCACGTTAGTAAAAATGATGTCCTTATGGTTGCATACTCACTGAAAAAAAATTCTCGGCGTTTTTACCAAGGTCCGTTGGTACCTTTACCATCTCACTTTTTTTACCAATTGTTGGTAATTTTACCAAGACAAACCGGTAAGCTTACGTAAAAACTGGTATTTTTACTGGTTTTTCAGGTATGAATACCACTTGTATTGGGAATCAATTGCCGGTAACTTTGCCATTTTATCTCGGTAATTCTACCACAGTCGATAACAAATTTTGGCGTTTTTCCCATGGTCCAGTAAAATTACCGAGAAAGTTCAATAATTTTACCGATATTTTAATATTTTACCAAATCATATCACGTTTTGCGCAAGATTGTACCGATCCAAAAACGCAGCAAATTTTTTTGCAGGCTTTATTCGTTGCTGCCGACTGCGAAGGGCAGCTCACAGTGCACTGGAAAAAAAACACATTGAATCTAGAGTCCAGACTCTTGAAAACATTGACAAGAATAAATACACTCTTGATTCAATCGGATTTTCGCTTGAATCCAAACGAAATCTGCTTGAATTAAGAGGCTTGGTTCTTGATTTAAGCTAGATTCTGATTGAATCAAGAGTACTTTTTCCTGTCGATGTTTTTAAGAGTCCGGACTCTAGATCCAATGCGTTTTTTTCCCAGTGTAGAACGAGTCTTTCGTGGAAGTCGGACATGAAATATTTATCCAAAATTGTAAAATTTTACGTCTCTCTCGTCACAATTTTGATTTTAAGGGGTGCTGCTCAAAGAAAATTTGACGAGGAAACCAATGAAACTACTTTTAAAACATCAAAATTTCATATTAAGGTGATTTGATGGACGCCATATTTCGTGTCGGAACGGAATGCGATATATCGCATCAATTGGTTCCATTTATTCAGCTACTCGTCATTTTCTCCAATTTTGAGATCGCAATTCTGTTGTCAGGAGGCTAAAGCACTCACTTACCAATTTTAACGAAGACATTCAACGTAATTAAGGCGTGGTTTTTTTAGAGAGAAAACATCGCATACGATACTGATACGGAAACTGCACTCGAATGCGATATTTTCTCTCTGAAAAAACCTTTTCTAACGTTGAATTTCTTCCATATCAATATCGAATGCGATGTTTTCTCTCTATAAAAACCACGCCTTTATTACGTTGAATTTCTTTGTTAAAATTGGCAAGTGAGTGCTTTGGTCTCCTGGCAACAGAATTGCGATCTCAAATTTGGAGAAAAATTACGAGTAACTGAAAAAATGGAACCGGTATACACTTCTAATGTTTTTAAATAATGTCCGACCTTTCTGATCTACTCGATCCACCGTGCGGCATTCGAATCGGACCGAAAAGGAGCGAAACGCGCCTAGCTTCCGGGTCCCAATTCCTCTTTCACTTCATCACAGGAACAATTGAACGAGGAGTAGATCATCCGAAACAGCGGCATTTTCACCAAGATACCGACGCGAAAACATCGGAACTCTTTTGTTTGTTCGCCAGTTGCAGCCTCCCTCGAAGAAAAGCTCAACGCGGGGCAGAGCGGGCAGGAGAGAGGCTGGAGAGATCCTCCACAAATAAACGTATTAGCTTGATTTAGAGGTTACCCCGTTCATTTATTTTCATTCCAACCTCTGCATCTCTTTTGTTCCTCTTCCGCCCATCGGACCGCAATTTCGACGAATAGTAGGTACGGTTCGATGCGTGTCTGATTAGTTCTTTTGGTGAAAGTAGCTTTTTCGCCCCCGCCCCCTCCACACCGGTATAATTTCTAGGCCGGAGGGGTCGCAGGCACCCCAGCCTATTAAAGCTGCAGCGCGTTTGTTCGGAACGTAGCACTCACGATTCACACTGAATTCTTTTCGGGAAGGCCTTTTCTTCTTATTCACTGGAAAAAAAAATACATTGGATCTAGAGTCCAGACTCTTGAAAACATTGACAAGAAAGAATACTCTTGATTCAATCAGATTTTTGCTTAAATCGAAAGGAAACCCGCTCAAATTAAGAGGCTTGGTTCTTGATTTAAGTACAAATCCGATTGAATCAAGAGTATGTTTCTTTGTCGATGTTTTTAAGAGTCTGGACTCTCGATCCAATGTGTTTTTTTCCCAGTGTTTCTGTGAAAATGAAAGCTGGTGTGGTTATGGTTTTCAGCCGTACGCTATTTTGTCTATAACTGTAGTGTACGTTGTCTTCTTTTAAGCGCTCAGCCGATAGGCAGCGCTTTTTGATTTCGACTTGCCTCTGAGTACTAGTATACTAGTGCGAATGCGTTTAAATGGCGCACCAGCTCATCGATGTGTAGGTTTTTTGGGGGGGGGTCCAGTTTTAAAATAAATGAAGCTGTGAAAACCGTATTTTACGCTTTTAACGTAATGCGCAGGTAGTTTCGATCGTTTGTCTATAACAAAATTTCTTAGCGGTAAAGTAATTCTTATCGAAATTGATCGTTGAACTTAAATGAAGCCTAAAAAAACGCGCCTGATGAGCTCAACAGTGACTTTTATTTTTGGGAAACGAAAAAACGCGTTTACGGTTTCCTTGGTAACCTTTGTTTGCTATCAGCTGATGTTTTATTTCCATGTCCCAGCCAAGTCGACGGAGTTTATACTTCCTTTCTTCACTAAATACATTGACTAACACCTGAGCGCTTTTCTAATACGACAGTATTAGAACTTTCCCGCTTGTTTTTATAAATGATCGAATCTATTAATGAGAATTTTTTTCACCAAAAGTATGTTCAAAGCCTCTAATTCTCTATTGCCAGCACACAAATATTTGCATTCAGTATTCTTTGGAGTTCATGGTGAAGTAATAGCTAGTCAACTGTTAAGTTCGAGCTACAGATGTTACAGGACTAGTCTAGCAGCGCATGACAAGTGTGGCCTTAAAATGTATATACAATTCGTTGATTGCCCATTGAAAATTTCCAAAATCAGTTTACATCCGAGATACCACGATGGTTTTCTTTCAAATTCATAAAATGGAACCCTCCTATCATGAAAAGATCTACAACAAATAATTGCAAGTCGGCCGCAAAAAAAATTAAAACTCACTGTTCAGTGAGGAACGAGCGTTTAGTTCGTATCAAAGAGTATTTTCAAAGAGTAAGTAAATCCGGAGACTGAGGGAATGATCTCATTTTTTAGTGCCCCAAATTTATTTTCGGACCCAATTTAATTGAAATTTCCCTATAATTTTGTTGTTTCCGGACTGTTTGATAAGCGTGAAAAACTGTGTTAACCTTTATCTGAAATTTTTAATTTCGCCCACTATGCTCTCCATCAAGTTTTAAGAAAGAGCAGAACTGTGATGTTTGGCTCCTAATCTTATTCGATGGTCCACATCTTTCCGGGTCATTACATCACATTAAGTGATCTTTGTTCTTTATTTGCAGCCTTTTCCGCAAATTAAGTTGTTCTTTTATCAAGTGATTTATTTGTTTGCCAAGAAAGTACTTTCGCATTGTACCTCCGTAGCTATACGAGATACTGAACGGGAGAGCAGGTCGGTAAAATGTAGTTAAAACAAAAGCTTATGTGAACACGAATTCTCTGGAAAACTTTCACCTTGGGGTAGCGCCTTTATCAGCCTATTCAGAGTTGCCAAATTCTTATTTTATCATTCCCGAATCATTGATATTTTCGAACTTTCGCCTCGAAAATTTCGTTGTTGCCTTCGGAAGCGAAACGGAAAGTTGAAATTTTATCTGAATGTTTGCCGCATCTTTGAATTTTATTTCGAGCCGTCGAGAATCTTCTTTGGTTCAAAGTAACTTGATAAAGTGAGTATGGACATTTAATCCACTTTCCGTGGAAGTCTTATGACCCAAAAATGGCGGCGCTTTGTATTGGTTTTTGAGGACGGGAGGGTGATATCATTGCCAGCTTCTGACGGTTATCAACAACCGCTCTTGCTGTCAGTCTTACTGTGTTCAATGCCTTTCGACTCATTTTGTATTTACATTCACATTCAGTGTCCGCCATTTTAGGTCCCTAGGAGCTCCATAAAGCTCACAATGGAGGAGCCAATCAAACTCGGCCAATCAAATCAATAATTCGAAGTGTTCGTATCATCCGACAATCCCTAGCTCTTTCTTCCCGTGAAGTCATACCCACATGACTCTATTCTATCTATACTCTCTCTACTATACTCTCTCTTTCAAGTTTCTGTACGTTTGTCTCGGAAGAGGGACGTGAAAACGCCCATTTCGTCACCTTCCGGGCAAAGTATCACAAGCGCCATGCGACGTTTAAAAATTTCCGCCGCCATTTTATTTTTTTACAGAGAAATGTTTGGTTGAATTTGTTTGAAAATTTCACTGAATTTAATTGGCAGCCCAAAGAAAATTCAGTGAAATTTTTGGACAGCTTCGTTGAACAATTTCTCTATGAAAAAATAAAATGACGGCGGAAATTTTTAAACGTCGCATGGCGCTTGCGATACTTTGCCCGGAAGGTGACGATTTCTACTTAGGCGGTTGTAGAATTTCACACAAATATAACTGCTGCGTAATGACTCTCACCTGGGAATACATTAAACTAAGTGGAAGACTCATGGCGATGGAGAGGAGCCAGACAAAGACGATCTTGAGCGTGACTCGTCTACGGGTTTTGTTGCGCCCAAATTTGATGGGGTAGCGGAGACTCAGGTACCGATCCACACTGATTGTGCACAGGTGCATTATCGACGCCGTGCAGAAAAGTACGTCCAAACAAATCCAGATCAAGCAATACACCGGCGCGAGGGGAAAAAAACCTGCCAACAGAAATGAAAAAAACATTGTAACAATACCAATTCAGTTGATGTTATGAACCGGGTTGCCGCCACTGAATAATTTATATATCAGCGTGACGCAACCAGTAAATACGATCAAAGAAGAGAAGATAACATACCACAAAATGAAAATACAGAATCATACATGGAATTCCAACCCGGATGGGGAAGTATCAGGTTGTATAATGGATGGTCAATATGAACATAGGGCCGAGGCCATGGTCGGCGATTCTGTGGATGACGTCATGTGTCACCATCTCATTCATAAAGTACCGGTGACACTATCTTGTAAATTGAGCATGTACTACAGCACCTCTTAAATTCGACGATCTGAATTAATTGCCGCGTTGTAGGAGACAATCTGAGAGATGGCAGTCATGTTTCTGAGCATTACCCCATTCTAGGACAGACATCGCAGGATTCCTTATCCTCATCTCTCAATATCGTTCGTTTTGTGGCCAGCCCAGGCCAGCTGATAATCGAGATGTCTTAACTCTGGGTATAAATGGACTCTAGCACTTCTTTTTATCGGGCTGCATTATGTTTGATGAAATTACCTTTCTCCCGATCACTTTTTATCCGGTTTTTAGACGATAGCTATTTCGATGTCAATCATCATCATCAGGTCACTTCGACTTCGATTTGGTAAACACTAACAGTCACATCTTATATTATTAAAATTTACTAAAAAACACTTTTAAAAGCTCTCTAGCTTGTCTAGAGGTCCATTGTGCGCTCCCGAAGCAACAGGTCACGAACAAAGAACGCGTTTGCGTCGGAGAGAAACGTAACTAGTTCGTTACCACAATCGTATTTCTAACTTATTCCGGGGAGTGCGAGTGTGCCGATTCCGCGGTCCCCACCGGAAGCCAAGTAATAAGTTGGAAAGAGAGAAAAATAAATAAATTAATTTCCGGCTTTGCCCCGCGGTGACTTGCCGGATCTACGAGCGAAGGTGGAAGGGGAACCGCCAACCGCTGAGGTTTATCGCGGAAGCGTTGGGGGAACTTTAAATCAGGAACTACTTCCCGGCGCCGAGGGATTTCTTCTCCGTTTCCGGGTTACTCGTGTTCGTGCTTGCGGATCCAGCAATTTGGTAACATTGCTTTTCTCCATCTAAACCCATGGAAATGAATCGATTCTTGGATGGGCCAGGTGCTCCGTCAAGAATCGATTCTTTTGTATGGATTTAAACGGAGGAAATCCGATTTTGCCAAAATGCTGGATCCGCCTACGTGCTCGGGCTTTAGATTTTATCCAATGAATGACCAAATTTTTAATGTATCAAATAGAGGGTTGCCATAGAATTTTGATAACAAATTACCTCTCTGACATTCCTTGGCGGAATACTTTGAACCAGAGGACGAACCGTACGATTTAAATGGGATGAGAATCGTCACATTTCTTCGAGGAAATTGATTTCTTCGTCCCCCATTTTCCCTGTTTCACAATTTTTGTTTTGAGTAATTACTTAATGAACTAAAGCTATGTTAAATTGTTGCATTAAGGATTTTCGACTTGTCAGGCACCATCAGAGCATTATTACACACGGAACGTTACACGGAAAAAAAAGAGGTAGGGGCTAAGTCCCATATGTTTGATGATATGGACATTCCCAGTTAATTGTGGTAATACCCCGATTAAGTATGGTAGTATCCCCATAAACTAGGTTACTAGCCCTAATGTTGCGGCACTACCCCACTCGATTTGCGATGCTACCAAAATTAATTGGAAAAGTCCGCATATCATCCAACAAATTTGGGCAGTAGAACAATTTTGGGGGAGAACCTCTGACACTTTTTTTCCGTGAATTGAAACAAGATGTATCAATACTTTCTTCAACACTATATAATCATAATCATCGTAAGTATCATCAAGGAGGCCATTGTAAACAAGAATTGCACGAAGCCTTTCGTTAGCTTGTTAGAACTGGGTCAGTGAATTATTACTGTCCGGATAATAATGCAATGTATTACTTTTTTTTTTTACAATTTAATCACCGATTTGACAATCTTGCACCCCGTTATCATTGATTGTTTTTAAGAGGACTTCTTTGTCCCGAAATTACGTATTCATATTTTCATTACCGTAATGAAGCGGGGGATTTGAATCCTCAAACTCACGAACCGAGAGTGGCAATCCTCTGCTTTCATTCACTCATCATTTTTATCTGGTCAGAATGTAAGTAACAAAAACCATTTAACACGGAAAAAACAAGACTAGTGTTGAGCACTACTGGCCGTTTAGTGGGGAGTAGTTGGGGGCTGGCGTCTAAGCGCTGTACAGCTCAACACCGGAAGGCAGTACAGGTGGGCACTGAACATGAGTAGTGCTAATCAGATGCCGCGAGACGTAGTTGCGCTTAACAGGTGTAAATTCACCCATGAGATGTCGGAGTCACCATAGCCTGGTGGTAACGCGCTGGTCTTCCACCGGCGCGATCCGAGTTCGATCTCAGGCGGAGGCGTTTCATATTTTACGCTCGCTCCAAAGTCACTTTAGGGCTTGACACTACTTCTTCCTTAGTGACCCAGCCTCGAGCTGTTTAGTGCCCAGCACTCCTCTGACTTGGTGGCTCCATTTGACCTAACCCTCGTTAGTGTCCAGCACTAACATGTAGGTCCCAACCCTAAGCTCGTTTTTTCCGTGAACATTAGGATTATTCAATGGATAATGAAAAAATGAGCAACCAAGTTCGCTCTGTTAGGCATTTCAAAGTTGTTCGTGGTATCTCTTTGCGAGATGGAGCTATGTATGTTGTTGGCGCATCGATGTTTTTGGTACCCGAAGTCACTGACCGAACGAAACTTCCGGAGTGTCGAAATCGAACTGCGGTGACCCAAATGGACTGCATTTTGCAATTTGGAACTATAAATTCTGGCTCTCCTGGAAAAACACTTATGTGCACAGGGAAACTAATGGCACATGCGTTGTTTTTAAACCGGGCTAGAATTTATAGTTCCAAATTGCAAAATGTGGTACAAATCATCCTCCTGCTTCTCGATTTCTTCCCAACGGTTACCAACTTACTCAATTGAAAGATCGACGGAGATGTTGGTATGATGTAAGACCATATCTAAAGATACCATTCTAAAGTCATTCGGAATGACTAGGCCATTAATTTCCGAAAAAATTGAATTGAAATTTTTTACGTGAAATTCGGCGTNGGGGATTCGGCCGGTTTCTGATTTATTATTCAGAGTATGGAAAGTTTGGCAACAATGCACAGAACAAACATGAATAAAACGTGGTATACAAGAAATGAGCTATTTAACGTAGTGTACTTACTTTATACTCAACGCTGAGACCCAATTCCTGAACTTTCCTCCAAATTGACTGGTTAAAATGAAAGTTATACCCGTGCAATTTTGCGTCAGGATATAAATTTAACAAAACGGATATGACAGCAATCTCAAAATCTAAACAAAAACTTTCTGGCTTCCACGTTGGAAATTTTTCGTTTAACAAATGAAATAAGCGTTGATAAGTACGTTTCTGCTTGTTCGGAAGTAAAGCGTAAAAAATAGGAATGCAGCAAACAGAATGGTGGGTGCTTCTGTACTTTGCATGAATTGTATACAATTGAGCAAATTGTTTTGGACATGCATAAAATGTCCCGTCAATAAAAAAGTCTTGTTTAACAGATAGTACTTCTTGGATTAATTTTGTCCATCCAAACACTAAAATTCGGTCTTTTTGACCGTCGTCACAAATTAAAAAATTTCATCCGTCCGACTGTCAGTTCACGACCCCGATAAGCATGATTTCAATCTCGAGATGTCACCAACATGATAAGAGTATTCCTCTGCTTCGCATTAGTACATTGTTGCCAAACTTTCCACACTCTGGATAATAAATCGGAAACCGGCCGAATCCCCACGAAAAATCCAACCGGCCGAATCCCCACGCGACCGCTGGGAACATCTCGAAAATCGATTCTTTACCATAGCTTCAAATGGGGGGAAATATCGAAAATCGATCATGCACGCCTTGCCACTGCCGACGAGGTTGTATTCAAGAGCGAAACGTGGCGTTTTAGTTTACTTAAGATGCCATTGGAGGAAATGGGGAATCGGAGTACAGCGTCAAGGTTAATAGACGCCTCAAAAAGTTTCCCGCCTGGTTGCCAAGCGAGCGTTCGTTCGATTCTCGGAGTCTCTGTCTAAGACCGATCGATAGATAAAAGAATTCGTCGACAGGCGTGCGGTCGTTTATCTATGGAAAATTCCGAATTATAATCTCCAAACGCGGCGCTGGAGTATTAGCGGTAGTTTCAGGGGAATTAATTTTCTCACGTCAATCAAGAGGAAACGTCAAAACACCGTTTACTCATTACTTCGTTTTAACCCCCATTCCACCCCCACTTTGCGGCCCCCTCTCGCATAACCTTTTCTACGCTTCTTCGAATTATTTGCGTTCACCGTAAGTGTAAGGATCTCCAGGTGTGGAGACCTCGCTTAGGTCCGTCCAATTGATCCCGATTAAAGGTTGAAATGAAACAATTTTCCCCCGCCGTCTTTCTCAGTCGAATATACTACCATGTTACCGAAGTGGGTAGTAATTGCACGAATAGCGTTTTGAGAAAGCGGACTGAGGAGCCTCTAAATGGTAAATCGCATCGAAAATATCCCCCCCTCCTAGTTGCATTGTCAACGATCGTTTTAAAGACTCGTACGTTTATTTTTCATGATTGAAAACCGATTGATTTGACCCTTGACTTCATGCGTCGCTCCTCTTACTCACGGGCGAATCTCGATTTTTGATTCTTTCCAGGAGAGCAAAAATAAGATTTTTGGTATTTTCTTTTGAGTGTCTTCACCCAGCTTTTTAACCTACCTATATAAGGATCAATCCTTCAGTAGCTCATAGAAAAACAGCTCAGAATTCATACAAGTATTTCCTTTTCAATTAATTATAAAAGACTTTCAAGACGAGTTATTGAAATAAGTGTACCAAAATACCCGATTACATCAAACCCGCTC